GCAGAGGAGGATGCCAGGACGCCCTGGTTTACCACAGTCTGGGTGGGGGCAGGGAATGGTGGGTACAGCTGTGCAGACAGGAAAGGGGCAGGGGTCTGGAGCTGGCTAGTTGCAGGCGCTGGTCTCAGAGAGCCTTTCAGGGTCCTGTGGGGCATGGGGTGCCCTCTGTCCGTAGGAGGACTGAGTGACTGGCCCTCCCCGGGACGTGGAAGGGAGATGGGTAAAGAGCTCCGAGGTGCTGGGGGCTGGGCAGGGCCTGATGCAAGAGCTCCTTGCCACACCGAGCAGCTGGCACCTGGGTGCCAGCATGCAGGGTCCCTGGGCATCCTCACAGGTGAGATGAGATCTGCCAAGGGAGAGTCCTTGCTCTTTCAGGTGCCCACACTTGAGATAATGGCTTGCTTTTTTCAGCAGTGCCCATGCCCTTTCCCAGGATCCAGGGACAGTTCTGCAGGCCTTAGCCTCTAACTCAGGACGCTCCCCAGGGGGTAAAGGGTTGGGCCTTGTTGGCTGACCTCCCCAGGTGCATGGAGCAGAGCAGCCATACATATCCCAGCCTCCTGCTTGTCCCTTGCCTGCCACCCTGGCTGAGCCTTTGGCATCCTGCAGCTCCAGCTGGGACTCTTCCAGCTGACAGGAGACCTGGTTTCCCAGGGGTGCACCAGGCCCTTCTAGAAACCATTTGGGGATCGCCTTGCCCACACATGCCGGTCAATCCTGACTTACGTCTGTTCTTACTCCTGTGACCAGAGGGCATCACTTTTCTAGAACCTTCTGTGCCAACCCTTGGGGAAGCCACAAACTCGGACCCCTCCCCCCAGAGTATCCTCTCCTAGTGGCTCCAAACCACGAGGGCACTTGTGACCTGATACTATTTCTGGGGAAGAAACCTAAAGTGAAGTAAATGTCAGCTGCTCTGGGTTTTGGTGCAGAGTATGCAAACGGGACAGGTTCCAGGCCTTCTGTGACACCAGTGTCCATGTGACCTTGAGAAGATCATTGCTTTTCTTTCTCTTTCTGTCACTCTGCTTCTCTCTTCTTTCTGTTTTGGTACCAAGGATTGAATCCAGGGCTTCTGCATTAAGCTACATCTCCAGACCCTTTTCTTTTCAAGACAGGGTTTCACTAAGTGCTAATACTCAGACTGGGCTCTAATTTGTGATTTTCCTGTCTCAGCCTCCCAGAGTGCTGAGATCGTAGGTATGTACCACTGCTCATGGCTCTGTGAGGTCTTATGTGTTTATATAATTTCTTTATATAGCAACAATACCATATAAAGCACCCCCCCCCCATCTCACCTATGTTGCCTAAGCTGGCCTTAAACTTTTGAGCACAAGCAATCTTCCTGTCTCAGCCTCCTGTAGTCTGGGACGGCAGACAAGACAGTCATTTCCAGTCTGAGGATCTCTGCTGTCTTGTCTGTAAAATGCAGAGGTTGGCCTAGTTTGGAGCCATGGTCACTTCTATTACTGAACTCTTTTCTTGATGAGGCACCAAGATCCCTGGACAGGAGTTGTCTCATGGGACATCACATCAGCACCTCTGAGCCTGGCACTGGCCTGTGGTTTCCATAGGTTCCATCTCACAGAATTCTCACCGCAAGCCCGGGAGGCAAGAATTATGGCTGCACCCCTTTTACAGATGGAATCCTGAGGGTCGCGCTTAAACAGCTTTCCCCAAAGAACACAGCCAGTGAATGGGTGGTGGGATTCATATCCAGGTCTGTGTGTCTCTGGGTCCTGCATAACTAACAGTTATGTGGTCGGCATACGATGCAGCTGAGGCAAGATCCCCATCCAAGCCCAGATAGGTAATTCAGTGATTCTCTGCCTCTAAATAAAAAATAAAAAGGGCTGGAGATATATAACGCAGTGTGAAGGCCCTGGGTTCAATCCCCAGTGCAATAACAATTTTTTTTAATGAGAAGCCTTTTGGTGTGGCAGGAGCCCAGAGCCTAGTGGGTGGGGACAGCAGCAAGGTGGGCTGGCGCCAGCACTGACCACCCAGGCTGGGCTTCTTGAGGTTTCAGGGCTGCGCTCTAGAAGACCCTGCCTCTGGGGGCTTCACTGATGAGCCAGGGAACTTGAGACCACTTAGGAGGCCGGGGGACGGGGCGTGATGGAGTGGTGAGGATGGAGGGCAGTGGATGCCTCTCAGAGTACCCTGCGTTTGGAGGAGGCTTGCAAACACAACACGCACACACCCTCATGGCCCCTGGGGCGCTTCCGGGGAGAAGGAATGTGGTGAAAGAGGTCTGGAGGGAGGAGAGGGTGCTGTGTGCCCCTTGCTAGGATGTAATTCCCAGCTCAGATCTCAGCCAAGCGCCCAGCACGGGTAGATTAGGGGCTTCGGTTCCCCTCCTCTGCTGATCACCTGCGCCAGGAGGGTTGGTCCTGGGCCCAGGGATTTCCCAGGTCCCTCCAGGCTCTGAACATGTACGCAGAGAGGGTTTGCAAGGCAGAGACAGTTGGGCAAAGAGAGGCAACACCCAGGCCTCACCTTCTCATTCTCCTCTTGCTCTGCTTCCAGTGCCATGGGGCACCACGCCTGCTCTTACAAGGTTCCCATAGCTACACGTGAAGACGAGGCCTCAAACCACCAACCGGGTCAGGCTCAGCCCAGTGGCCCGGAGCCAATCCAGGCGGTGATGTTGGAGGACTGAACCACGTCTCTGAGCCTCTTCTCCGGAACTGACCTGAGATCAGTTCTCACCTGTCTCCAGTTTATCCCCATTTCCAAGTGAAAGCCATGTATGTTCCTCTGGTTCGTGAAACAGGACGCCCCTCTTCCAGCTCCTTAATCTCTAGGGTTCTTGCTGTTTAGTTTCCCAGTGTTGGGGATTGAACCCAGAACTTGCACACAGTAGACAAGCGTCTACCACTGAGCTCCACCCCCAGCCAGGGTTTCAGGGCTCTTAACCAGCTTTGCCAATGTGGGAATACAGGAAGCCCACTCAGCAGAAATGGGCCAAGGCTGTGTATTCACGACTTGCCATAGCAAGAGTGTTATTCACTGTCCCTCACATTCAGAATGACAGCCACAGCAAGACAAGGAGCAGAGGAACTTGGAAGTGGAAAGGAGATAGGTTCAGGTGTGCCCAGCAAGGGGCCGCTGGCTGGGGAGCTGGAAGAGGGGTGTCCTGTTTCATGCACCAGAGGAACTTATATGGCTTTCACTTGGAAATGGGGATAAACTGGAGACAGGCGAGAATGAGGCAAACTGTCCATCATACATCAAGGCCTGGCCATGCTGCCCTGTGCACTGAGCTGGATGATGGTTTGGCTTCTTGGGCAGCTGTTAAAGCTCATGGTCTGACTTTCTGTAAGTCTGACTTGGCAGGCCAGCTAGCTGGACCAGTTTCTAGTTCCTGGAGTAACAAGCTGTCTGCCTGAGCTGGTGACAGGAGGTAAAGAGTTGGTTTTCAGTGTTGAGTGCTATAGACAAAGGCCGGAATTCTATTTTGTAGGGAGGTACGAGGATCAAAACGAGGGCGGTTCTACCACTGAGCTGCACTCCCAGCTCTTTTTATTTTGAGACATGGTCTTTCTAGGTTTCCTAGAAACCCAGAGGTTTCTCAAACTTGAGATCCTCCTGCCTCAGTCTCTCAAGTATCTGGGATCACAGGTGCACATCGCTGTACCTAGCCAGTGTTCTTTTTCTGTCTGGTCTAACCAAGCCCATCTGTACAGTCAGGTTCATCTACAGCCTCTGAAAGTCATCCCAAGTTTTCAGACAAGCAAATTAGGAAGCAGAAAGGTTAGCTGACTAGGTCACAGAACTGGTATGTTTCAGAACCTGGCCAGAAACACTGATTCTGGGAACATCGCTTAACTTCTCCCCCAGGCCCCGAACTTGCAGAGGTGAGAGGCATGTCTGGTTCATATTTGCCCCCTTGCCTCCACTCCTGCCCCCCTACTTTCAGCATGGCCCCAAGTATTTATTAAATGAACAGGGAACCAGTAGGAATAGGAGAGTGCAGACCCAGGCTGACAAAATACTTTGATTAGAAGCACCATGCTTGCCAGGTGTGGTGGCATATACCTGTAACCCCAGCATGTGGGAGGCTGAGATGGAGGATTGCCAAGAGTTCAAGGCTAGCCTGGACTATACAGTGAGTTCAAGGCCAGCTTGAACTACATAGTAAGACCCTGTCTCAAAAAAAAAAAAAAAAAAAAGAAAGAAAGAAAGAAAGAAAGAAAAGAAAAGAACCATCATGTCCCAGCCACCTGTTCTCTGGCTTCTTGTAAGAATCTCAGGCTCTCACTGGGAGGCTGTACTGTGCTGTTTTTGTGTATTGGAGATTGAGATTGGGTCTCACCAAGCAGGAAGGCCCGATCTGTGGAGGAGGACTCTTCCTCCCAGGAAGAGGAATTATAGCAGACAGAAATCTAAGATGGCCCGAAGGTTCCACCCCTGTCCCGGTTTGGCTCCCAGGACTCTCCTGCATTTGTGCAATAGACCTGCACCTCAGAGAACCAATGGTGGCGAGTGGTAGGTGTGAGGGGGAGGGTGCTAGATGAGCTGGCTGCCAGTCCTGCTGTGTCCCGTATTAGCCTAGTAGCCCTAGATCACCGTCCATCCCCAAGCCCTACTTTCTACATCTGTGAAGCAAGACACACTGGCCCAGGTAATCTAAGCCTATCTATTGTGATACAGATTCTTTGATGCCCAAGAGAGACCAGAATTAAGGCTAACTCTCCTAGGTAGCACTGGTCAGGTGCAGGTAGGTGGCGTCTTGGTTCTGTAGAAAAAAGCAGCAAAAGAAAACACTTGTGAATGTGGCCTTGTCACAGTGGGCTTCGGGGTTCGCATTGCGTCAGGCCCTCACCCTTCAGTTGCCCTGAGTATGAGCCAGGGATGAAGGGCCATCCCTAGAAAGAAAGAAGCTATCTGATGAACAGCAGGTGTGACTGTTGATTTTTTCCAAGGGCTTGGTTCAATTTCCTGCTGTCTAAACACCTCCCTGGAGCAGGGGTGTGGTGCCAACCTTCCCGTTATACCTGGTGCTGTGCAGCAGAGGAGGGACCCCAGGGAGGAGAGGTGACAGGGCCTCCCTGCCCAGTCATAGCCCTTCCGATGACCGTCGTGCAGCTGCAGGAGATGGAGTGGGCAGGGGTCCTGCATACAGCTTGGGCCATCTCCGCTCTGTGCCCTTCCATCACCAGCTCCTCTCTTCCTTCTTGTCTCCAGAAAAATGTTCAGCAAGGACCTGGTCCTGGAAAGCTGAAGGAAGAAAATGTCATATGGTTGGGCAGGAGGAGGAAGAGGAGGAAGTCAGAGACAAAGTAGGGTCTGAGGATGATAAGAAAGAGTTGTAGGGGAACCAGGGGGCGGACGCCTGTCTAGAAGCCAAAAGGGTTTAGAAGGAGCAGAATGAGAAAATGCGAAATCAGCAGACTTTTGCTCTCTTTGGGCAGCTGCTTGGCATCAAGTGGGACCAGACAAAGGACTCACGGTTTCCACTGTCACTCTCCAGGATTCCAGCTTTCAGTCCCTCCATATCTGAGCCCTATTATTTTTTCTGAAGCACTTCTGCCTCTGTCACTACGTAGGGCCCCCCAGGGCAGCCCTTCAGCCTCGTGCCTTCCCAAACCTCCTCCCAATCCTGTTTGTGACCATCAGATTCGCAGCACCTCACACCAGGCTGACAAACAGACCTTTCGATCCGTGCCCCCAGGACATATGTATGGATGCAGATGACAACAAACCATCTGGCATATGGGATACTCCCCCCCCACACACACACACATACACACATGCAGGCAGGAGTAGACACGCCCAGGCATAGAGATCTTAACCCTAAATCCTGTCCAGCTGGCTCCCCAGTCAAGTGTTGGGGTCCCATAGAAGTTTGAAGGCGGTCTGGTCCCTTTGGCCTCCAGCTCTGCTGCCTGTCAAGAACACTGCCACACCTTCTGCTGCCTGCCACAGCATCCTGAGGAAAGGAAAGGCAAAGATCAGACAGATGACTTCCAACAGGAGTGCTGTATTAAGATTCTTGAATGCCAAGAGGGCCCCTCTTCCAGCCTCCAGGGCTCACCAACAAAGAGGGAGTCTGTAGGGAGGGGGGACATCCCCTCAGCTGGGGTAGGAGCTGCACAAAGGGTCACTTTGCACTGCTGTGCTCCAGGGGAGAGGCCCTGCAGCTAAAGAAGCATTTTTATCATTTTTGTGTAACTGCAGAGGAGACAGCTCCAGGTGGGGGACAGCAGGCACTGGGAGGAGCTAGGTGCATCTCAGGAGAACCTGGGAGACACAGTAAAGGCAGACCCTTGAGGACTGTGGGAGTCAGCGGACAGGCAACAGTCCAGGTTGAGGGTGGCTGGAGGCCCATGAACGGAGTCTTCCTGCTCACCTCTTACCTGATGTCCCTAATGTCAGGCCATCTGTGGGGCACATCAGGGGTCAGGCACCATCTGGGTGGCAGGAGGAGGGCCAGGGAATTCCCTGGGAGCTGTCATACCCTGAAGCCACACTGCCCAGGCCTGCTCTTCCCTAACAGCTTGCAGGTGCTAAGAGGCATTTCCAAGCTTTTAGGAGGCAGGCTCCCTGATCACAGGGCAGGTCCATGAGGTCTGCTCATCTTGAGCCTCTTCTTGGGGAGGTTAAATTTCCATGAAGGAAAGGAGCTTAAGGGGGAGGTGAGATTTCCTCTGCTCCTAGATCCTTCTCCTGTATGACAGCAGGTGGGCCAGGCCTGTTGGTCACCCTACTGTAGCTGGGTGGAACAAGTGGGCAGCTCTCTGGTCAAAGTCATTATAGCTGCAAAGGATGCCACCTTCGGTTCCAGACCGAAAGCCCCCAGCACTGAGAAGCAGAATTCCTAGACTTTCTCCATAATCCCTGTCCCTGGGTGTTACTCTCTCAACTGCATTGCTATACATACATTTACAATCTGATTAAGGTCACTAATCAGGTGACCTTCAAAGCAGGTCATTATTTGGGCAGACCTGACCTGACCACATGAGCTCAATAAAAGCCGACCACGCCTTGGGTAGCGGAAGGCAAGTCAGAAATTCTAAGCACAAAAATCTGATGCATCTAAAGATGTGAGGGTTGTGAGGTGGCCACATGGAAAGGCTTTGAGAGCTGCCTCTAGGAGCTCCAGCCAACAGCTAGCAAGGACCGCATTCATACCACACAGGAACTGGGATCTGAGAACAACCCAAGTGGACCTAGAAGTGGATTCTTCCCTGGGGCCTTAGGTGGGAGCTCAGACAGGTCAGCACTTTGATTTGGGCTTCGGGACATCCCAAGCAAAAGACCCAGTGGAGCCTGCCCCCAAACATCTAGTGCACAGAACTGGGAGTTTTGGGTGGGTGTTATTTTAAGCTGCTAAATTTATAGTAACTTGCTATGCAGTCATACCTAAAACAGATCCCTGCACAATGGAGTTTCCAGAGCATGTCTGTTCACCCCAGGGGAACAGGAAGTGCAGAGTTTGGATTTCACCCTCATCCTGTACTCTGGCTGGGCTCCTGTTCCCCACAGAGGCAGCCAGATCTTATCCAGTTACTGCCACAGGCCTAAGCTCCTATGACTAGGCTGGAGGCCCAAGTCTGGCACTAACCAGTTCTAGATAGACCAGTCAAAGGGGAACAGCCCACGTGTTAGGCCTCTGTATACAGGTTTCTTGTATGTTTGCTTCTTTGCTTACTTTCATATATACATTTTGTTTTTGGTTTTGTTTGTTTGTTTTTGGAGATGGGATCTTGCCAGATAGTTCAGGCTCATCTTGAGCTCATTATGTAGCCAAGGCTGGCCTTGAACTCATTGTGATTATCCTACTTTAGCTATTACAGGTATGTGCCACCACCATGCACCCAGCCTTGTCTTATATTTCTGCCCAGTTCTGATATTGTTGGATGTTCTAATCCTTGGTAAGAGCAAAATCTTTTCTAGACAGGGCTTTCTAATTGAAAATCCATATTACTTTCAAATAATCCCGTAAGACTCAAAATGGATTGTTCTTTTTTGGTTCTCTGATTTAAATGTTTTGGTTTCATCCTTTGGCAGAAATGGTTGGCTGTTTGCCAAAATTCCTCATTTTAGTATAGTTGTCATGGAGGATCAAAGACTACATTTCCCAGCTGCCCTTGCAACTAGGTTATTCATGTGACAAGTTTCTACCAATAGGATGTAAACCCGAAAGAGCAGAGTCCTGAGCCAAGGCCAGAAGAAGCAAGCACATCTCCCATACTTTCCTTCTTCTTCTGTCACACGAAGGTGACAGTGAGACCTGAGGGAGAGAGGGAGTCTCGAAATGAACAGAGCCTGGATCCCTGAACCATCAGGTGGCCAATCAGGAGCAACTTTTTCTCTGTTGTGTAAACAATAAATTCTATTACATATTTGGGTGTTGTCATTGTCTCTTAGCCTGCCCTTCATAAGATATCTGTCTTCTTCGGCTTTGATCTAAATCAAGATGCACAAGATGCTGACAAAGCTCCTGGGATGAAAACCTCCAGCTCCCTTAAACTGGCTCCCTTTCCCGTCTTGATTCATACTGTCTGCTTGCTCTGAAGTCTGAGCGACTCAGCCAGCCTAGGCCCCAATCCGTCTGCTGTTGGTGAGCGCCTGGCCTAGCAAAATGCACATTTATTCTCCCACACATAGAGTTCTTTTTTCAGCAAAGGCAGAGCAGCAGTATATTTGGAGAGGCAAACTGCGATTCAGCACAAGGCTCCTGGTTACATTGGGACACATCCAAGGAGCTCGTGTCTTCAGCCCCAGCTCCCTAAGCCAGAGCCTCCAGAGGTTGGTGGAGAGCAGCAGAGGGGCAGTGGAGGGGGGAGGAAGCCAGAAGGAGGTGACAATTCTCTCAGAAAGCAATTAAGCATTTCTTGGTGGCCTCAGGGACAACCTCAATTTGTGGTACTTTTCCTCCAGGGAGGCTGAGGAGCAAGGGAAGAAAATATTGTGGTCACAGTTCTTGAAAACCCTGCTTCGTACTGTGGCTTTGGGAAGACAGAGAAGCTCACTGCAGGAACCCTGTCTGGCCCACCTCTTGACCCATGCTCCCCCATGGAGACTCTTGGGATAAATGAGTGGGACCCCAAATATTAAGAAACCTCTTGCCGTCACCAATTTCTCAAGCTTGGCTCTGAATTGCCAGCCCCAGCAGGAAGAGGAGAGGTTAAACTGATGGTGGTAATGAAGCCCAGAAGAGGCTGCACCCTGCTAAAGTTCTCATGTGCAAAGGCCCAGCTCCTGTGAGGGGGTCAGAGGCCCTGGAGATTAAAGGATACCACAGCCCTTCCAGAGTCTCCAAGAAAACTTTGCCTCAGCAATTTCCAGAACAACTTTGCTGTTTGTCTGCATTAGGAAATCACAGGCTGCAGGCTACATAGAGCCCCAGGAATTCAGCCACTGGCTTCTCCTGTCCTTTCATGAGCATGACAGTTAGATGCACAGAGCAGCACTGAGGTTAAATTACAACCTGACCTGGGCTGCCCCTCAGATACCAAGAGGCTCAGAGAGGGTCAGTGGATAAGCAGGTCTCTCCAGACCTCTCACACCGTGGCCCGAATGGGGGCGGCTCTGTTCCAATGCTAGGTAGTTCTTAGCCCTCAGCCTGCGTCTGTGGTGAGCTGTGGAGCCAGAGTGGATGCATTGTGGTGTTTGGTGGAGACGGCCCTAATTTCCCATATTTTTATGGTACTCCACCACCACCTGGCCAAGGTTCTGTCTGCCTAGTCTGATCCCTTCTCTTCACCTAACCTGTTCCTCTTTTTTGTTTGCTTTTTGAGACAGTCTCACTATGTAATTCAGGATGACCTTGAACCTCTTGGACTCACTATATAGCCCTAGCTGACCTCACATTTGTTGAGATCCTCCTGCCTAAACCTCCCCAGTGCTGGGCTTACAGGTACCACCATGCCCAGCCTGTTCCTCTTATTCTGTCACTTATACCTTAAGACTTTGCTCACTTGTTCTTTCCAAATGTCCCCTCTCCCTGTCTGCCTGGGCCCACTCAATGACTAGATTGTAAATACGACTGACCTGATCCCTAACGACAAGCCCCCAGTTTCTCCCAAGAAGCTCAGGTTTGATGAGTGCAACACCCGGGGCACTAGGTGACCACAGGAAATGCCAGAGTCCAAAGTCTTCCCAGGACTGGTGGCTCAGATGGCTCAGGAGCAGAAATAACCTGAGCCTGCCTGCTGCCCTTTACTTTTCGGGAGTGACTCAGCAAAAGGCTGGCAGATGGGTATGCGCCTCTA